GTACTGAAAGAGAAAAACAGAATAGTTGTATGGGTATTATGATAAAGTCAGAGAATCATTAAGTCAAACCATCGTTAAGTCAGGGACCATCTGTACTTTCATCTCTCAAATGGTTGCAATTCCCTCATTTCAACATGATCTTTGAAACTGATCCTCTTTTTTTAATCAAGCTTTTAATTTTGAGATTATTGTAGATTCACATGCATTTTTTTTTTTTTTTTTTTTAAGATGACCGGTAAGAGGATCTCAACCCTTGACTTGGTGTTGTCAGCACCACTCTCTCCCAAATGTGCTAACCGGCCATCCCTATATAGGGATATGAACCTTTGGCCTTGGTGTTATCAGCCACACTGTCCCAAGTGAGCCACAAGCCGGCCCCTCACATGCAGTGAGAAATAATACAGAGAGATCTCATGTGTCCTTTATAAAGTTCCCCCCAATGGTAACATCTTGCAGAACTTAAGTATAAGAACCAGGATGTTGACACTGATACAATCCACAAATCTTATTCAGATTTCCCCAGTTTTACTTGTTCTCATTCGTGTATTTAGTTCTATGCAGTTTTATCACACGTGTAGGTTTGTGTATCCACCACCATCAAGATACGAAACAGTTCTGTCGCCACAAGGATCCAGTGCATGGCCCTTTCATAACACGCTGTCCTCCATCCTCGCTCCCCCGGCCTTCACCTAACCCCTGGAAATCACTCTTCTCCATTTCTTTTTTTTTTTTTTTTTTTCCTTTTTGTCTCTTTTCATGACCGGCAATGGATCGCAACCCTCAGTGTCGCGCCCGTACCGGCCCGGGACCGGCAACGGGATCGCAACCCTCGGCGTTGCCCCCTGCACCTCGCTCAGCCAGTGAGCGGGAACCGGTCTGCATGTGGGATCCGAACCCTCGGCGGGAGCGCCGCCGCGCTTCCCAAGCGGCGCACTGTAGCAGTGCGCCACCGGGCCGGCCCCATCACTCTTCTCCATTTCTACAATTTTGAAATTTCAAGAGTTATATAAATGGAATATATGATATGAGGGTACTCCAAAAAGTTCATGGATTCATATTATCTATTTTTCCATGAATTTTTTGAAGTACCCTCACATACAATTTTAAATGCATTTTAAATTTAGCATAATTCCCTGGAGATTTCAACCAAGTTACGGCATGTGTCAATAGTTAGTTCCTTTTTATTACTGAGTAGTGTTCCATCCTGTGCTTTTTTTACAGTGTCCTCCCCAATTTTCTCTACCTAAGGGGGGCCAGTGTACACCTCCTGGCCACAGATGATTGAACAAGGAGTGAGCACTGGTTCACCTAGCAGGGCCAATAAGTCACTTCCTCAAGGAATCTAAGATTGGACTAAAATTTTCATTCTTTCAAAATCTAGCTTTTTTGTGTGTGTGTGGGGGGTGCAGTGGGGTGTAGCTTAAAAACCCAAAACTATTAGCAGCAACCATTTTACATCATGTGGTCCAGGAGGTGGAGAAAGTTGGCCTGTAGTGAAAGAGAAACACTGAACCTGAGGCAGAGAGGCAGGATGAGAGATGGGAAGATGTCTGTTGAGTTGCAGCCCCTAGTGCTGGTAGTCTGCAGCCTGGGATTCTGAGACATTCCTCTATTCTTAGAACCACCATCCTTTCCTCACCCTCACCCCTACCCCTTGTCAGCTCGAATGACTTTGTTAGATGCGACTCTACTAGACTGTGGTCTCTTTTGGAACAGAAACTGATTTCCTTTTATATTCTAGTACTTTTGCTTAAAAGTCCTTTGCATTCTGGGCCGCCTTTTTCCTCACTTCTCCCTCCCCATTTGCAGAGACCCTCAGAATACACTCCCTATGTCTGTGCCATTTCTGTCCCTCCAACTCCTCCAAAGCACACTTCTATAGAAGGCATCATTAACCTGGGCTTTGAAAATACCTTAATTAACACTGAAGTCCCACAGCTCTCTGTTTGCAGGATGATTTCCCTTATCTTTGTAAGTGTCTTTAAATTGCTTTTATGGGTGGTTATCTCCTTTCCCCATCAGATTAGGAGACACTGAAACCTGAGCCTCTCTGCCAGCAGTTTGAGAGTTCCCTGAGGGCACAGAGTATGTCTTCATTAATCTTGTAGATCCCTCAGGGGAAAAACTTGTCTTCTATTTTTGAAATCTGTGCCTGATACTAGCTCTGCACACTGTGGGTGCTCAATAAATGGTGATTGACTGAGTAAACAATGAACTTAGTACCCTGGAGTGTCATAATCTTTCATTCCACAGGGAGAAAGTAATAACATTATGCAGAGCAGGCTGGATCTCTTAATGTGATTACCTGGGATTTGTGGGCCAGTGACTCTTTCCCCCAACTTTATTGGGTACATTCATCTCCACAGATAGATATTACCAAACAGAGACCACTAATGCTTCTGGCCAAATGGTGGGCTACTGTTAGTCGTCCTGACCTTGTTAATCTTGATCCTATTGCAAATGAAGCTGCTGCCTCCAGCACCAAATAAGGGGAGAACCCAACACAGTTGTGGCACTGGTTTTACTGAGAAAAATGCAATCTGCCCATGCTCAACAGTGTTGAACTTCCTCTGCATCTGTATTTGACACATCCCCCATGAGCTAATGTATGACCATAGTAAGTTTTTTTTTACATTTAAAAAATATGACCATTTGAGATATAATTCACATAACATAAAATGCATCCATTTAGTGTTCAATTCAATGGTTTTTAGTATATTCACAGAGCTGTGCAACAATCTCCACAATCAATTTTATAACATTTTTTTTTACCCCAAAAAGAAACTCCATATCCATTAGCAGTCACTCCCATTTCCTCCTCCCAACTTCCAGCTGTAGGAAACTGTTAATCTCTTTTGTTTCTGTATATTTGCCTGTTCTGGACAAATGGTACCATACACTATGTGGTCTTTTGTGACTGGCTTCTTTTGCTTAGCATGTTTTCAAGGCTCATCCTTATTGTGACATTTCAGTATTTCATGCCTTTTTATTGCCCAATAATATTCCATTATATGGACATACCATGTTTTATTTACCATCAGTTGATGGACATTTGGGTTGTTTGCTCTTTTAGCAATTTATTTCTCCATGTTTCAACTTATCTATAAAAATGAGAGTTATAGCTGCCTTGTCTGTCTTAGAGAATTATGGAAGGTACACAGGGAATATATGAAATATATTCTAAGCTATAAAGTACTACATGAGTGTAAAGACATTTTAATATTTATATGAGATCAGCAAAGGAAAGCACTGGGGTCAGTGTAACTTCCCTGAGCTTATGGCCTATCATTGGTTAACTCAGGGCAATTAGGTATCTCTTTAGGTTTCATCTTTATGTACAGTCCATTCTGGTTTTTTCTAGGTAATGGACTGCATCTCTTATCCCTGACCTATCATCTCATCCACATTTGTTGCTAGGAGACCAGGTTAGAGTATGTTTAGCTCAGTACAATCCATTGCCACTGCAGAAAATCACTCAAATCACAGAAGGGTGATATTTGAACATCAAGGCAGTCATATTTCATCCAAATTTTTAGCAAGACCAGGGAAAAAGGGCTGAAGCTATAGGTGTTAAGGGCCTAGGTTTACCAAATATCTTGCCGACTTTCCTTTTTCTGATTTTAAGTTAACTTTCACACTCGCATGTGCCAGGGTGACTTTTTTCTCCTACTGCCCAACAAGTAAGTGTGCTAAGGTAATACAAAAACATTTTAATATTATACTGAGAAAATGAATTAGGAAGAAAAACCTGTTGCTGGAATAGATACAAAGATTCAAAAATCCAACTTATAAATATATACTATTTGACCCCATCACTTTCTACTATTTTTTGCACGTGTTTTTAGCTATAAAATGTGTGGGTGCTAGGGGGATGGAGGGAGAAGTCTGGGATGGGCAGTGGATTATATAAGAATGATTGTTTCCTTTATGCTAGTAGTTGCCTAGAGCATAATTTCCCCCTTCAAAGCTTGGTAAGAGCAGCTGGGGATAATGAACAGTGGTTAAAGATGCTTTGTTTTACACCCAGCAAAAAAGGATCATTAACACCTCAACTGTTTTTTTCTACCAAGCCTATGGAAGGGCTCCTGCTGCTGTTGGTAATCATGGTAACCCTCAGGGTAGCAGGGGCAAAGGGGTGGGTAATTCACCAGAAAATGGTATTCACTGATTTGGATTATGTGCATCACTGCTCCTCTCCATTCATGTGCTTAATTAAGAGCTGACTAGTGCAAAATAAATGAAACTGCAATTCTTCACTGGAACTGTCTGGGGAGCAACAGAAATTTTGCAGGGAGAAAGGGTATGCACCAGAAAAACTACCTTGGGAAATTACCATCTCCCCATTATATCTGTATTCTAGAGTTAGTGTTAATGTCACATCTGATTCTTAAGAGGCAAAAGGCTTATGAGTCCAAGAGACATCTTATTGAAATGGTGATAGGAGGAGTAGTATAGTTTCATCTTCATTTTATCAAGGGTGAATTCAAAGCAAGGAACTGTGACTAGGACAACACAGTTAGTCTAGGGCATAACTCCAGTCACATCAGGGAAACCCCAGTAGGAACGCAGAGCTGTAGTTACTCTACCTTATTCATGACATCATGTTTCATATCATTCAAAAGTTTTTGTGAAAGTCTCTATAGTGACCAGCAAGTTGACTGCCTGGGAGTCGTGTCCATTTTATTCGGTCTCCAAGGGGAGAGAAAATGGAATTGCTTTCTTATATTTCATTTAGGCAAATCTGGATGGAGGGTACTGAACTTAGTTCACAAAGGGTACCAAAATCCACACTGCTCCTTTTTAAAGAATACATGGAAAGTTAAAGCAAGAAGTCAGGGCCCCAGATTTCTTAAACTAACACTTCATCACCTTCCTCCCCACCTCAGGATAACTGCTAGGACACTCTTTTGTTGAATGGTTAAGACAGGTAAAGAGAAATCATTGGTGGGATCTGCCATTCCCATAATCTTTTTGACACACTTTTCCCACAAGCTTAAAAATAAAAGACCATAAACTGAAGGTTTATTTTAAATGACCTAAATCCCTGAAATAGAAAAGTAATTTATTTTTAGCATTAGATTAACAATAGTTGTCTCATTATTCTGACATCCATATTCAAACTCACCTGCTCAGAAAGTTGCAAACCCATCTAACAACTCTTACTAACCATTCAGAAAGGACTTACAACAATAAAGTTATCTGCATAGTGAAGATTAAAGAGTGGAAAATGCCAATCAGAGGTATCCAGAAGAAGGTTTTCTGTGATTGAAATAATAGTTCCTGTCCATGGTTCAGGAATAAGATGCTTCTTTTGGAAGCTGAGAAATGAAGATGAGAACCTTTGGTATCCAAACTGGATGTCTGAATTCTCTGCTGTGCCATTTTTGGCTGGTCTAATGCAATCAGTTGGAGAAACAGGCCTGAGGAGGAGGAAGAAAGTCTCAGACTTTGGCATCTCCAGCCTCAGGGTTAGGATTTAGGATTAAGTGCAAATACACTCAAGGCCTGATCTTGAATGGCAATGAAACAACTTGGAAAACTAATCACTTAGTATCACTTAGGCCTGTAATGAATAGCTAGGTCAGTTCCATCTGAGGGTCCTTGTTCTGGAGACCCTTGAAAGAATGGGCATTATAGGTGAGAGGCTGAAACAGAGTTATGTGACTTAAAGGGAGTAACTCACAAAGATGGAAGTAGAAGCCCACAACACTATCCTTCAGATAATCGATATGACTCCACCTTTAAGGGCAGTAGGGCTGAATAAATCCCTAATAACTTCAGGTTAGGTAGGATCTTAACTTCTATAACTCATAGAAGCTATAGGTTCTACTACTTAGAATCTAGGTACAGCATAGATCCAAGAAGCTGGGACACTTATAGAGAGTGGCAGAATACATGGTCTTCAAAGATCTGCTTCTCTTTTGCTGGGAAGATCTTGTCACAAATTGGACAATTCAAACAAAGGGTCTGCATGTGCTGCTGCTCCGAGGTGTGATCACAAATATCACCAAACTCTGGTTTACAAGTGGGGTATTTCTTGATGGTGAGCTGGGAAAAAGAACAAAGAGGTTAGTATGAATGTAAGCTATAGGGGGCACAGACATGTTCACTTTGTTTTCCACTTGTCAAGTAAAAAGCCATAGCTACACTAATTGTCTGGTTGGGTTTATTGTCAGAATCCTGCCGACTATGCCAGTTGTCGGGTTAGGGCATAGGGCTATTGTTGGACTCCTGCCACCATAGCCAATTGTAAAGCTACATGACTACGCCGATTATATGGCTAGGCAATTCATAACTAAAGCCAAAATGTTTCGTTATTTTAGTTACGCTAAGTTTCCGATTTGTATTGTCGGGGTTAGGGCCCACAGACCCTTCAAACCCATTGTACAGACTGGGTCACAGACCCCTCACATGCCAGGCTGGGTCACCAGACCCCTCACATACAAGTCCACACTAGGTAATTGGGAAAGATCCTGAGAGCCATTGGCATACGACACGAGCTCAGTCCTCAGCTTCCTCTGCAGCAGCAGAAGTGGCGGCGGCAGTGGCCTCTCAGAGGGTCCTGGGGGCCCTGGCAGCAATAGCTTGCAGCAACAGCCTCCAGCAGCAGTAGCGGCCTCCCCATGGCCCACCTGGGGTATCCCAGGGGTGGGAGGTGCTGTGGATTAGAGCCATTGATCCTTTACACTTAAGTCCATAACCCAGGATACCTGGGTGCACATGTGCAATTACATTAGATAATAAACAAGGAACACCTGGGCACACGTGCATATTTACATCAAATGCTCAGCAAGATTCTGAACATCTGAGGGGCCCTGACAGTTTTCCTATATTTTCCCTACTCCACTGTATCCTCAGCACCTAGCCTAATGATTGGCACATGGTAGGAGATCAAAAAATAGTGGATGAATGAACAGATTCATATTGAACAGATACTCGCTGGGGCTTTCTAGCCCCAGGACTGAAAGAGCCTAATATTCTTGAGGCAGTCAACATAGCCTCTAGCCTGCAATGGACACTGGACATGCCTTGTTTGGCTAGCTGCCTAGTTCACATCTCCTCCCTAGTCATGCTACCAAACTCAACTCACAGGTGGAGATCTTCTGCAGAATGCTGATGGACGAACTGTGGTTTCTTCTCCCTACCTCAACAGGCTGGCTCAGCCTCAGGCCCAGAACAAATTGACCCAGCTGACCTCTAGAGTTATCAAAATGAACCAGTTTCCCTATGATTCTCCCATGAACTGGAGCAGGAAGGGAAACTTTCCCAATGATTTGATGTGGGCAGTCTCATAAATCAAATACTTACCAGGTTGGAGGCAGAACTTTCTTGGATACCTGAGGAGAATAAAAAAGATTTTGTTCAATGGAAAAAATATCATCCCTAGATTCTCCAACTGCGTTCTAGTAGATATTTTCTGTAACCCTTATTGTTCCCTTTCTCCACTGCCTCCAATTCTTTCTCTCTCATATATACCATTTACTCCTGATAGAGGGGATCTATGTCAATGATAAGGAGAAAAGAGGAGAAAATAGTAAAATAGTATTTTCAGTAACCATGTACATACATGTTACATAATCAGAAAGAACAATAAGCCTATTTTCAGTGGAGAAAACAAATGAGATTTTAATAAAAATAGTAACAACAAAACAGTCTGAGAATAGATTTTAAGACTGCTTTCATGCAGTTATTTTTCAAATTAAATGCTTAAAATATATATATATATATATTTTTTTTTTCCCTCCGTATATAAAGATGACCAGTAAGGGGATCTTAACCCTTGACTTGGTATTGTCAGCACCATGCCCTCCTAAGTGAACCAACTGGTCATCCCCACATAGGGATCTGAACCCAGGGCCTTGGTGTTATCAGCACCACACTCTCCCAAGTGAGCCTTGGGCTGGCCCTTAAATGCTTAAAAAAAATATATATATATATTTTGTCCTTTTTGAGACCGGCCACACCGCACTCAGCCAGTGAGCACTGTGAGCACACCAGTCATCCCTATATAGGATCCGAACCCACGGCGGGAGCGCTGCTGTGCTCCCAGCGCCACACTCTCCCGAGTGTGCCACGGGCTCGGCCCTTAAAAATATTTTTAAAGAGGGCCGGCCCATAGCACACCAGTCATCCCTATATAGGATCCGAACCCACGGCGGGAGCGCTGCTGTGCTCCCAGCACCACACTCTCCCGAGTGTGCCACGGGCTCGGCCCTTAAAAATATTTTTAAAGAGGGCCGGCCCATAGCTCACTCGGGAGAGTGTGGTGCTGATAACACCAAGGCCCCAGGTTTGGATCCCTATATAGGGAT